TGGAGATCCGCGGAGGCGGGGAGGAGTTGGGAGTGGGCGGGCGGGCCGGCCAGCACCGGGAAGCCTGTCATATTCTGAAGCTGTTGGCCCTGAGCCGTTGCCAAATCCGCTAATCTCAGCGCTGGCGGGTTCCTCTTGCTGAAAGGGGGCTCCATCATAACTATACAATCAGGCCCATAGACCCTCGCTGGGGGCACTTTTTTCCCCTCTGCCCGCCTTCAAAAACATGTATATATTAGGCGCTCTTTAACTTCTTGTGTCCTGGCCTCCTAACTGCTTATTCTTGTCCCCTTTCTATCCTCCAGCGATTGGCAGAGTGAACACCACATTTGAGCTGCACAGTGGGACCGAGTTTTTGGAAATGGCACGGGTGGGATTGGAGCGAGCCCTGTGATTGGCAGCTGCCTCGGCTGCGCTATTGGCTCGGGTTCAGGCTCTGGGCTCAGCGGGGAACCGCCCCCGAGCTCCAGACCGCCTGCGCTTTCACTTCTCGCCCCCTCCTCCCCAGGAGCTCTGCCTGCCAGTTTCCCCCGCGGACGCCCAAGTTCCACTTGCAGAAGTTTGTGCTTGGCCTGCTCCCTCAGTCCCCCGCGAACGTTCGGTCGACGCGCCTAGAGTAGAGCGTCTGCTAGCTCCGGGCCAGGGTGCACCCAATTGCGAGGGGTCAAGGGACCTCCCGACCTGGGGTGAAGCGAGGGGGAGGGGAGAACCCAAGGATGGTAGTACCCGAACACTTTCTACCTCCTTTCTTGCATGATCCCTGGCTTCACTCTGGACCGAGTGATCGTCCTGCCAAGGTATTGTAGCGATGCCAGAAACTTCTTATATGGACCTTGTCTGCCCCTGGGCCCACGTGGGGCATAGACCGCAAGCAGAATGAGGACGATTATTAAACGTTATTGGTTGCAAAACAATTTCATGGAGCTTGGCAAAATACCAAAGTCGAAATAATATATAATAAATCTTTCCCCAAAAGAACAGTCTTGCTTAGACTATTTTAGCTCATGGATTGCCATTCAAACATGGTTCAAAGGAACGGGTTCAAGATGTAGTCTCACTGTTCATGGGTTCTAGACCTGGTACTACCAATTAGATCTCCCTGAGGGGCGGGGAGGTGGGAATAGGGAAGGGGGTGAAGCTAACTTTGCCTCTCAGATAGAGTGGCAGAGAAGGCCAAGTCTCCCAAGAGCAGCCGTCAAATAAGAGACGTCCTTTAAACAAAAGGTCTTTTTCCTGCCCAGAACGCACTCCTCATTATGTGCCTCAGTTTCTCCAGAAGGACTTCAAGTTGCAATAGACCAAATAAAATATTTTAAAACCAGTAAGTATCTTGCCTATTTATTTATCAATAGAATAACCTTCCTCCTTCTTAAACTGAAATGCTATGCTTGAAAAACAAACAAACCAACCCTAGGATCCCATGCTCTGGGATTTAATGAATGCTATCCATTTGCCACCAAACAAGTTTTAAAAATATAACTAGGTCACTGTATCATGGTGGGGCCCGGGGAGAAATGTGAGACCCCCCCCATCAATCGCCCAAAGTGTCATCTGTTTTTTATTCTAATAAAATATTCTTAATTTTGTGATGTTCTAAAATGCTCAGACTCGAGCAAAAATATTTTGATTTCTCCGATAAAATCATCTATAAAGTAGTAATAACAAGTCAAATAAGACCCCCATCACACACGCGTGGGCGCACACACACACACACACACACACACACACACACACACACACAACACACACACGGAGGTGAAGAGTGGGGTGGGTGAGAGGAAAGGGGACAAGAAAGCAATAAACCATGTTCAAACTTAATTCGTTTGCAGTTTGAGTAAAGATCAACCCCCCCTCCAAAAGCTGTCATCAGATCATAGCCCTCAAAAGAAATAAGTATTAGTTAAAAAGAGTTGATTTGCTAGCGCCATTGACATCAGTGTGAACCATGCTCCAGGAGCCTCCCTATGAACCTTGGGAATGTCATTTCTCTTATAAAGTTGACAAGCAAACAAAGACAACTGTGCCATCACATTCTAAATGCCTTTTTCTTTTTAGCTTAAATGAAGTTTAAATCTAGGGGAAATTCAGAGATCCTGAGCACGCGTGTGCACACACACACACACACACACACACACACACACACACACACACACACAGTGGCAGTAATCAAACCCACATCTGTATTTGGGGAGGGGAATTCTTTGATGACTTGTTTCAGAGACTTAAATATCCTGAGCCATCCATGGAAAGGTTGGTGGAGAACGGTGCCATCTGTATAGATGGTGTATAAAGGAAGTGTCACATTGGGAATTATTACCAGTGTCTCCGTTTCCTCGAAGGATATTTCAAATGATTTCCCTTTATTTCAACCTCTTGGCAATGAATAGTCCATATTGGCAGTAATGAGTGTGCTCCTGCAGGTTATCAGCAAAAACAAACTAACCCCAAAAAGTGAATAAGGAAAATAAGCACAACCTAGTATATAATATAAACCTTTGAGCAATTTTATTGTGCAATAAAATGGGTACCTCCACCCCCTTCAAAATGGCTTTTTGTCAAAATTATAACTGCTTTGTTTTATTGAATTGCTGAAATTTAATGGTTTAATGGATGGAGGCATGAAGGAAAGGCTGTAAAAATGTGGATAATGCTACAGCAGACCCGTGTGGAATCTGGAACCCGCCTCCTTGTACAACTCTTGTTAAACACAGCATGATATGTATCTGTCATCGATTTAATATGTCTTAATTCAAATATAGCTCCCTGATCAATTTCTTTTTATGGGAGACCTAGGAAGAAAGAGAGGAAGAAAGAGAGGAAGAAAGAAAGAGGAGAAAACACTTTTCTTTGGTAATAGAGATTTGGGTGGTGACTGGAAAGGGAATATTTACGAACTGAGTTTAATGAATATTCAAATTTATGACCAAACCCAGACCCTAAAAAGATAATTGACTCAAGTAAATCGATTTGAGATGCTAATTCTTGAAAGAAAGGGCTGGGGAGCAAAATTTCAATCAACACCAATAAGGCGCCAATAAACCTCCTGCCAATTAAACCTGAGAATAGGCCTAGCTACTTGGTCCTCAGGAAGGCTCGCTGTGGATTTCCGGGATTGCCTTGCTTTATAAAAGGGGCTTTTTATTTTGTAGACGCGCTTTTTGTTATTGTGATGACCTGCCTGACCCCAGGTGCGCTGTTTCTTTTTCAAGCTGTTTGGGAGCCAACCCCAAACCCCTTAAATCCCGACTTTCTAAGGACGCAATAACTGTGTCACACTTCCTAAATAAACAATTTCCAGAGTATCGAAGAGAATAATGTGCTAGTCTCCAAATCAGGGAGCAGTTGATGCATAAATGCTAATTCCTCCCTTTTCTATGGACTGTTATCCTGTTCTGAGGTTGGTGTCTTCAGGGCCACTTCCCAAAACTCAAGCCCTGATCTACACTTTCGGGTGCAGAGGTCCTTGTATGAAGGCAGCGATACAGCAAGTCTTGAAAACACCGGTGGTGGAGGCAACCGGGGCTTTGGCGGCCGCAAATTTATAGAGCTCATGTTTGCTCGAGTAACCCCAACCTCTTTTCCAGCCCCCCAAACAAAGGCTCAGGGAGGTGGAAGGCACAGCCAACTACCAGCTGGCCGGAACCCGACGGCCACGCGGCTGCTTTGCTGCCTAAAGGCCACAGAACTTGGCGCCTGGGGATGCTGCAGCAGGCTTCCCGCTGTCGGGAGGGAGGGCTGCATCTCCCGGCTCCAGGTGCCTTCCGTGCCTCTCTTAACACAGTCAAGTTTCCTACGATGGGTGTGGGCAATTAATAAACTCTAAGGGAAGTGAATTGGACATTTCCTGACTCGCCAGTCCCGCGTGGTTTCTGAGAGGCAGCCTCCTTGCGGAAGGGCTGGGTGCGGAGCGAATTTGCAGTCTAGGGCCTTTAGGATTGAGCCAGAGGCGGGTTCAAGGGCGAACGGGCCCACAGAACTCCTGAAGAAGGACTATTAAACCTGGGCGGGAATGCCAAGGGGTGCTTAACCCGTGCAGGGTGGGAACTGTTAGCAGGCATGAGGTGGTACTTCACCCAGAGTTCTCTACAAGCCGGAGCTAGAAAGGCAAGCGAACCAGGAGATCTTCATTCTATCAGGGCAGGAAGAGATGGCGACTGTGGGTTGAAGGGCTTTTCCCAAATCAGGTATACCAGGCTTCCTAGGCAGTAAGGTCTAAAGTCGACTCTCCTGGCCACGCCCGCTTCGTCTTCTCCCGACAGGGACCAGATCCTCGTCTCTCGTGTCCTCAACGCTCGAGAGTAGTCTGACATGGGAGCTACCACTGGTCTCAGAGACCTTGGTGCTCAAAATCGTCCGGTGGCAATTCGCAGCCCTGTGAGCTTCTTTTTGAGGATTTTGTCTTTGCGCCCTGCCCTCCTGAACTCATTCAGAATCTTCAGGCTCCACGGACACGTGTGGTGCGAGGAGTACCCCAAAAAACGTATTTTATTCTGAGGCTTATGAGCCCTGTCACACATTCGAGGGCACGGGGCAGATGGGAAGACAAAAGTCACAGACTGTATTCCTGAGACTAAGACCCTGGATTGGGTGGGGGTGGGGGTGTGTCTTGTTGTCCTAATCCTTTGGATAGTGAAGAACTAACTGGGCCCATCCTGTATCCACTTGACCTTTGCATTGACAAGCTGTTGGGGAAAAAAAATCAGCTTACCTTTATAGTTCTAAAGATAAGTTGTGTAAAATCTTCCTGTAGTCAAACATTCCCATTTGGTTCAAAATTATTTTTACAGTCAGAGATAGAGGTTGTCTGAGAAAGGCCTTTGACCTTTTTTTGACCACTAGGATTGGTGATTCCTTGAGAAACCCACTGTTGTGTCCTAAAAAATGCTCAGAAGGTCCAGGTAAGAGCCACAAAATGCTTTTTTCATGGCCAAGGTTTACACAAAAGCCTAATTTTTTATTATTTTAGGCCTGAAATGGACTTTTCTCTGTCTCTCCCTCTTGACTCTCCTGGAAGTCAGGTAAAGAAGCAAGCAGAAGCTTCAATGTATTTATTTCAAAATTTGGGTGTTCCCTCACTAAACACACTCTTCAGTATCTACATTTCAATATTTGAAAAAAGCTGTTGAGATAAATCAAATAGTGACACATTGATGGTTTTACTTGTGTAAGCAATATGGTTGACATATGGCATTGTTATTTATGAATGACAGCATAAATTGTATTACAAAGTCTACTGCAATAATACTGCACTTTATTGGAAAGCTGCTGGCTTGTTGGTATTCAACCTCCGGGTTTGCCTGAGAGACCCAAGGATGACAGTCTTTGAAATAATTAAATATGCTCCTGTAAGCTATAGCTTCCTGAGTTTTTTATTCTATTTTATTTTATTTTTTAATTTTTGTTTTGTTTTGTGGGTTTTTTTGTCTGTTTGTTTTCATTTTGTTTTATGCATTAAAAAACATTGCTTTCAAAAAAGAGGAGATGAGGCAAGGACAATTAGTTCCCTTCTTATTCCAAAACCACAATTTACTGTCACCCAGTTGGGGTGTCTGGGTGGCTGATGGCCTTTTCACCCCCATTCTGACTAGAACAAAAGTATTTTCATTCTTGTGACTTAACTACTGGTGGGCACATATTTTGTATTGAGATTTTAAAAAGTGATCTCAACCACAGAGTTTAACTGTAAAGAGGAGAGAAGTAGAGCCATGGTAAAGCTTTGTCTTATGTTACCCTCACACCCTCTTTCTTAATTCTATTTAAGTTACAGCTTTGGCTAGCATTTTCACAACTTCCTCTTCTTTTACATCACACCTTCCTAAAGTCCTGACAAAAGACTTTTGTTCTAGGTGGGTTTTAGAGAGGGGCTTCCCGGAGCATACATGTGGCTGTTCCCAGGTCAGGGGTCACCCAACTCAGGAGTAGCTGAGAAAGCAGAATCAAAAATGACCTTCAACTTAATATCCTGTTGATCATGTTGAATTTTAACTCTGTGATATAGAGGAAGGCAGTACCATAACTCTGTTAAAAAAAAGGAAATTATTACCTGTTATTGTTGTTGTTATTTTGGTCTAAGGTGTAAAGACAATGTATTCCATACTTTTCCTCACAACCTCTCTCCCCCACTTCTATTACTTTCCTTAAGAAAAAAAAAATCAAAATTGTATGTTTCTGGTTTCAAGAGTTTGTGCTTGGCTTCTCCTGTCCCACAAATGCATACTTACAAGTGTGAGAACACAGTAGGTGGAAACAATGTGTTTATTTTTCTTCTGTGTGTGCTCATCATGCTATCAGGGGTCTCAGTAGACACCATTCAGAGGCCCACAGACTATAAGCAATTGCTCGATGCTGGGATGCTTCCCCCATGCCCTATTTTTATTTTATTAAACACACCACGAATTTTTGATCAAACCTTGATTCTGTCCACTTGCTGAAAAAACGTGCCTTTGCCAGAAGACCAGGGGCAGATATCCTCCTCAACCACAAGCAGAGATTTTGCCCTGTTTAGAAAGAGCAGTTTGGAGGAATTTACAAAGAAAGAACATGCTTGCTACCGGTTTGGGGAGTTTGACATCACTACAGACCAGCCCCTTGTAGAAACCTGTTGAAAAAATGAATTCACTCAGTGTCTTCCCTTCCTTCCTTCCTTCCTTCCTTCCTTCCTTCCTTCCTTCCTTCCATCCATCATTTCTTCCTCTCTCCCTCCCTCCCTCCCTCCCCCCTTCCTTCTTCCCTCTAAGGAACCCATGTCTACTTTTGAGGTAACAATCCAGAAAACCTTTGCATACACTCACACCCTTGTTCTTTTCCTTTCGCTCTTCCCTTCCCTTCCTTCCTTCAAATAAAAAAAAAAAAAAGAAAGAAAAAAAGTCAAGGAGGAAAAGGTTTTTTTCCCCCTTCGGTTTGCAGAGAAATAAAACACTTCTGAAAGGGGATGGAGACGTGACTTTGAACTTGGCTCGGCTCCTCTGTTTCCTGCAGTGAAAGGAGAACTGGAGCTGGGAAAGAATAGCCAGGAGGGCCCAGCCCGCGAGCTCTCCGGCGGGAATTAAGGCGTCTGCCCTACGGCTCGGCCCTGGAATCCGGCGCGAGCAAGCTCCCAGCCGCGCCATCCTGAAACGCGGGCGCAGCAAAGGAGAAATCAAAGCGAAAGAAGAGAATAGGTCAAAAAGGAGAGGGAGGGGAGTGTGGGGAGGGGTGAGAAAGTGGGAGAGAGGAGGAAAAACTGCAACTGCGGGGGCTTGAAAGAAGGAAATAAGGTCTTCAGATAAGTAAGGCTGTTATTCTCACAGCGGATCTTAGGTTAAAAAAAAAAAAGAAAAAAATGGGAGGGAAATTTTTTTCGAGCAAACCGTTATATGCACTTCTCAGTATAAGTTGATAAATAAGGTAAGCAAACGTGAAAGACTGAACCGTTTTTAAATAAAAAAATTGAATCCTTTCTGCTTAGATATTCTCTCCCCACTCCCCCCCGCAGTCTGGCAGGCCAGTTTGGCATCTGCACTTTGAGAGAAGAGGTAGTGGGGTATGTGTGGAAAGAGAACTATTTCCCCTCTCCAGCTTCCAGGAAAGCTCATGGTTTCAGACAAGATACCTTCTTCTCCTAGTCGTCCTTCCCCTCCCCCTCGGCAGGAAATCGGGAAGCCAGTGGGAGCGAAGGCAGCCTTCATAGAAGGGGCCGTGGCCAGCTCCAACAGTTGAGCTCGACCCCCTTAAGGTATGAGAATCTGCTTCAGCAGGCAGGCGATCCCAGTTCATTGCAACAATCCTGGATAAGAGTATTCTTCCGGCGATTTTGGTGATTTCATTTCAATGTGAAATTTCCAAGTGTGTACTTATTCTCTTGCCCGAATTTTATCTCAGTTTCCAGAGATTTATAAATAAAAGCAGTCCTTAGGCCTGCCAAAGGCGAAGAAAGACTTTGGCCACAGGCTGTCCTTACACTTCCCCAGACTCTGGGCCCATGATTCCCTCTCCCGCTACCACTTGAGCTCGATCTGAGGGCCCTGGGATGTCCTAATGATAGCCTGGGGTCGAAGGTGGCGCTTGGGTGAAGCTTTGAGGTGTGTTCACCAAAGAATGAGTGACACCGTAAAGGTTTAAGCCCCACAGTTTATTTTTCCGAGGCCCTGAACCTGATAAATATCAACAGCCAAATTAAGGCCTAAATCTTGCTTAGTTCTGGGCATCCCACTTCCTAGCTCAAGGTGGCGGTGGACCGGGTCAGTGGGCATCCACCCTGAGGGTGACACTGTCTTTAAACGACTTCCAAACAACCCCCTGCCCCTGCCTCTCAGGGGGCTGATGCCTAGGGTTCAATTCTGTAATCTGAGCTGAAAGCGAGCGTCGGGGGTTTGGGGAGCTAAGTGCGCCCAAGGGGAGATAGGGACCACTGCCTAGGGTAGGAGTGATGTCTAGGTGAGTGTCCAAGGAGGGGAAAGCAGGGGTAAGTTTGACTTTATCTGTGCCCACCGCCCTTCACCTATGTTTCAACGTCTCAAAGCAAATTGGTCAAGAAAAGGACGGGGAATGCAGAGTGTGCCGATGGGGCAAGAGATGTCCCTGTCCCTAAAGTCTTCTCGCTCCTCCAGGAACTTCGGCCTGGTGACGCGGATGTTAATCACGTCTCTATAGCCAAGGGTGCTTCGGACCAGGGTCCCTGGGTTTTTCTGTGTAGTTAGGGGGTGGATGTGATTCCCTGGGGAGTTGGTGGCCTCTGATAAAGTTTGCGAGTGCAGAGTGCAGTCCCGCTCCAGGCCAAGTTCCGGTGGAATGCTTACACGACCCTTTGGCCTGGGACCCCATTACGCTAGCAGCTGGGCTCTTGTTTTAGCCGGCTGGGACCGGGAGCCACGGTGCCAGACGCGCGGGCGAAGCTGGGCTGCCTACCAGGCCCAGTCCCCGGGTGCGTTCGACCACTGCTGCGGTTACATAGACCCAGCCAGGCGCAGGGAAGGTGGGGAGGGCTGGGAGCAGGGCGGGGGCGCAGGATTGACGAG